CTGAGTGATGGCTGATAATACTGGTTGTGATCGCTGACTGTTGAAAAATAGTGTATTTAATGAGGTTAGGTATATGCAAGACATAAAAAAGGAAAGAATATCTCTGTCACAGAAGTCAAACTAAAAATTCTCTTCACTATTTGATTTGTATATTAAAGAAGTGTCATCTTAGGAGTCAGGAGACCCAAGAGCTGGATTTTCGTGGTTATGTGTCACTCTAGCTTTGTGACCTTGAAGATGCCAAATGATATTTCTGGGCTTCAGTTTACTCATGTAAAACTAGTTATAATATCTACATAGTGTAAAGGAAAATTTTATCCAAATTAAACACAGATTGGGCTGGAGATGGTGGTGATAGAGGGTGATAGTTGTGGCGGGGGGGCGGTGGTGTTGAATGAATGGATTACTCTAAATTGCTTCTGGACCTCAAACTCCATTATGCTAGGAATCTGTGATCTATGGGGACTATATCCGATATCAACACATTGATTTAGCTGCTTAATTCAGCAAGTTTCAATGCATTACATAGGTTCTTTTAGAAAATAATTAAAAACCCACCTAAATTTCAGACAGGTTTACTTAGGTTTGTGGTAGTGCATGAAACTCACAAGGCTGATTCCAGAAATTTTAGTGAAAACACATTTCCTGCTTTTATGTTCATATCATGTAGGTGTGTATTGGTATTTAGAGAAATGATAGAAGTACAGTCACAGTGCGGATGTTAAGTCCTCCGTTATTTTAAGTTGTTATCATAGACCCAGCTGCAGAGATGATACAGGATTTTTTGTTCTTATGTAAGTGTTCTTTTTAAATAAAACAAAATTTTAAACTATTAGTTGGAAGCTTGCCACAAACTAATAAAACAATTAGAATTAACATCTTTTAAAAAATGAATTACCCAATAGCCTAAAGGTAAATAACATCTTTGGTTATCAGTAAAAAGAATAAGATAGATACTAACCCTGCTACTGTGCTGATTACCAAACAATTCAGGAGAGATTAAGTGATTTCACCCAAGTTTTCTAGGTAAGTGCCTCAGTTATTCACTTAAATTGTCCAAGAGGCACCTGTACTCTTGTAATAAAGTACTTACCTATGTGGTAACTCACATCTTCTAGGTCATTAATTCAGATGTAACAAATTCTTTCTGGCTGTTCAGTAATGTGCTATGAGGCAGAAAAAAAAAAGCACCTATCCCAATTGTTGGACATTTTGTTTCTATGGAGGAATTAAACTCTGAGTTTATGTTGGCAGCTCTGTTGTAGCCATAATTTCATACCCCACCTGGTTGTAATGGAAAGTTCCACTTATAAATGCTATTTGTATCATTAAACTAAACATGAAACCCAATTCAGCCTTCCTGATCATAACCTTGTAGCCAAGAATGTAATTTATTTTTCTGAATATCTGGACTTCTGTAATAGTTGCCAATGAACAGACTTTTGAAGTACTCACTGATTAAACCATAAGTAACAATGACCTATTAAAATGACCGTCTTTTTATTTTCTCTGATGACTTTGAAAAGCATTTGGTCCGATAAAGCAGCTGTATTTGAAGATTCTCTTGATTTCACGTTTTAGTGGAATCATTGTGTTAATTAATGTTAAGCAGCACATTAAATTTCTCAGAGCGGTCAGGACTCATTCAGTGTCTGTTTAGGCTCTTTATGTACAAAGCATGTTCTAGGCACTGTGAGGACACGTAGTAGACTGGCCCTCAAGAAACAAGGTATTACTCATAAGAAAAAAAATACATAATGGAAAAACTGCACCAAAATGGCATGTGACTGGTTGTTAAGTGAATGATACAGATATTATTTTATTCCAGTGACAACTAGCCTTTAAGCTTCAAATTTATTAAATGCTACTCTGCATAAAAATATTTCAGGAAAATTAAATTAACCTATAATTGCAAAGGCAAAAATTCAAATGACCTACCATAGCATATTTACATATGCAGTATATTTGTGATTTTATACTGTGCTTCATTATTTAGTTTTAAGCTTTTTAAAATAACCTTCTGTTATGAGTATGTGCTAAATGAAGGAATCCTTTGATTATTATCAGTTGTTGATCAATGCTGAGCATTCAAAATGGAGAAATATCTTTATTGCAGATACAAATAATTATAGATGCTTTTCATAATAGCTATGAAAATATATAATAAAGTAGATAATAGTATAAATAGTAGATAACAGTATATCAAAATAGATAAAAAGTAGTATATCAAGATATAAGAAGTAGATAATAGTATATAAAAATCACTATCCACTCGGCAATTAGAAAGGAAAAATAAAGGAAAGGCATTCATATTGGAAAGGAAGAAGTAAAACTTCTCTATTAGAACATAGCATGATCTTATTGTAGAAAATCCTAAAGAATCCACACACAAAAAAACTATTGGAATTAATAAATGAGTTCAGCAAGATTGTAGAATATAAGATCAATGTAGAAAAATCAATTGTCAATAATCAGTCCAAAATGAAACTAAGAATTCTATTTGTAACAATATCAAAAAGAACAAATTCAGCAAAGCAGTATAACGCATGAACGATGAAAATAAAACATCAAAGAAATGAATTAAAGGAGAACTAAATAAGTAGGAAGACATCCATGTTCATGGATGGGAAGCCAGTGTTGTTAAGGTGACTGTCGTAATCAAATTTATCTACAGATTCAATGCAGTCCTTATCATAATCTCAACTACTTTTTTGGGCGGATATTAGCAAGCTGACCCTAAAGTTCACATGGAAATGCAAAGGACACAGAGTAGCCAAAAACAAGGAAATGCAAAGGACACAGAGTAGCCAAAAACAGTCTTGAAAAAGAACAAAATTGGAGGGACTTACCCTTCCCTTCCCAGTTTCAAAACTTATAACAAAGCTATAACACTGTGTGGTACTGACCTGAGGATAAACATATAGATTAAGAGGATAGAATTGAGAATCCAGAAATAATAATGACCTCAAATACACTTATGAATTTTTGACAAGGGTACTAAACGGCCAAGTGGGGAAAGCATAGGAAGACTAGTCTTTTCAACAAATGGTGCTGTGACAATTGGATATTTGCATGCAAAAGAATGAAGTTAGACAACTAACTCACACCACACACAAAAGTAACTTAAAGTAGATCAAAGACCTAAATGTTAGAAATAAAACTATAAAATCCTCAGGAGGAAATATAAATGTATATCTTTACGATCTTAGATTAGGCAATAGTTTCTTAGATATAACAACAACCAAAGAAAATTTAGATAAATTGGACTCAGTCAAAATGAAAAACTTCTGTGCTTCAAAGGACACCATAAAGAAAATGAAAGGACAATTCACAGGATGGGAGAAAATATTTGCAGATTATGTGTTTGCGAATCCAGAATGTATATACAGAACTCTTAAAATGAAATAATAAAAAGACAATTTGTAAATGGATGATGGGTTTGAATAGACATTTCTCCAAAGAAAATATACAAATGGCCAATAAGCACATGAAAAAATTCTCATCATCATTAGTCGTAGGGAAATGCAAATCAAAATCACAATGAGATACCACTTCACAGTCAGGAGGATGGGTATAATAAACAACCAAAAAGACAGTAACAGGTCAGGTGTGGTGACTCATGCCTATAATCCCAGCACTTTGCGAGGCCGAGGCCAGCAGATTGCTTGAGCTCAGGAATTTGAGACCAGCTTGGGCAACATGATGAAACCCTATCTCTACCAAAAAAAATTTACAAAATTAGCCAATCATGGTGGTGTGTGCCTTTAGTCCCAGCTACTTGGGAAGCTAAGGTGGGAGGATCACATGAGCCCAGGAGACAGACGTTGCAGTGAGCCCAGGATCATGCCAGTGCACTCTAGCCTGGGCAAAAGCGCAAGAGCCTGTCTTAAAAAAAAAAAAAATATATATATATATATCAATAACAAGTGTTGGCAAGGATGTGCAGAAATTAGAACCCTCATATGTTGTTGGTAGGAATATAAAATAGTACAGCTGTATTGAAAATGGTTTAGCAGTCCTTCAAAAAAATTAAACATAGGGTTACCATATGATCCAGCAATTCCACTCCTAGGTATATACCCAAAAGAATCAGAAACATGTCCACACAAAAATTCATACATAAATATGCATAGCAGCATTATTTATAGTGGCCAAAAAGTGGAAACAATCCATTTGTCCATCAGCTGACAAGTGTATAAACAAAATATGGTATATCGATACAATGTGATATTAATATTATTATATCCATAGAAAGGAATGAAGTATTGTCTCATACTACAACAATGGAGGAGCCTGGAAAGACATTATTCTGAGTAAAAGAAGCCAGATACAAAAGGCTACATACTGTGTGATTCCATTTATAGGAAATGTCCAGACTCCTATAGGCAAAACCATAGAGACAGAAAGTATATCAGTGGTTTCCAGGGTCCAGGGGCAATGGTGAAAATGGAAAGTGACTGCAAATGGGTGCAGGGTTTCTTTTGGGGCTGATGAAATCACGTTCTGGAATTAGATAGCTGTGACGATTGCAAACTTTGTGAATATACTAAATGCTATCAAAGTGTGCATTTGTAAAGAGTAAATTTTATAGTGAATTACATCTCAGTTTTGAAAATTACCTTATTTGTTCTTGATCATGCTATAAATTAAGGTGTTCTCATAAAGCATAAGCTTGCAAAAAATATTGTCATTAAGGAGCATATTTATGTATTTTGTTTTTAAAAAGAAACAAAACAAGTTTGATAATCAATCTTAGAGACTGCATGAAATTTCACCAGTGCAGAGAGATAACAAGACCAACATTTCTCTCATTATGTCATGAAGATAAATATAGTTTATCACTTCTGGTGAACTGATGTACATCCTTTTTATTAACCTGATTATAGGCCTTTTTCACTCAGATTTATTATATCAAACAGTGATTGTTCTGAAATTGAGGGAAGAATCATAAGTATTTCCATACAGACGTTTCATGTTTCTTCTCTTGTTGTTTTTTCCAGGTACTGCCTTTCCCAAGCCAGGTGGTGTACAACAGAGTAGGCAAGTGTGGGAGCCGTACTGTCGTCTTGCTTCTGAGAATCCTGTCGGAGAAGCACGGATTTAATTTGGTCACATCAGACATTCACAACAAAACTAGGCTTACTAAAAATGAACAAGTAAGTTGACTTTGCCCATTGTTGAATTGTATTTTGCTTCAGCTCATTTGTGTAACTAATGGGTGCCTTGCAGGTCATTCTTCAGACTCCTGATGAATGAATACCAGAGTTTTGATTTCATGCTGTATTTTGGCCAGAGTGTGGAAGGAAATTTAAGTTAAGGCTTCCACAAGAACTCTATAAACCAGGGAATTTCCGTGAAGGGATACTTCCATTAGGACTGATGAAGGACTGTGTGTACTTGCCTTTGTCTAGTTAGCTAAAATTAGCAATATATACATCTCAAAGAGTCACACCACCAAGCTATAAATAATGCTGACATCTTCACTGTCAAAATGAGAAGATTTTATTTTAATATTCTTCCTTCTGCATTTTCTCACCAGTGTCCAGAATCTTTATGGTTAAATCAGTTGATGGGGGACATGAGCTTCCTGCTATGGGAAACTCAGAGGATCTTAGGCTTTGAGAGCAGCACTTGGAATATTCAGTGGTAGGAAAAGAATTACCCCACATCACAGGAACAGTTTTGCCCTAATGTAGCTGAGTTGTACAAGTGGACGTGCTAATGGTAGGATGGGAGTGCTATCCTCTACCAAGAAGCTGTGAAGGTTTACTTTGCAAACCTTTACAGAGGTAGGGGCAACAGTCTCTGTGGGGCTGCTCTGCTAATGTGGAAAAGTCAGATAGAGTGTTCTCATGGTCATTTTACAGAGTTAGGTTTGTCATCCTGGTCTCAGAAACTGGCTTCTGTCTCCTTACCTACATAGGACGAGCGGCCACCCAATGAGTGGTACTTGCATGTTGGGAAGAAACAAGGGACATGTCTAACGATCTAGTTGAGATCATCATTATAAAAATTTCCTCACACCTGTAATCCCAGCACTGTGGGAGGCCAAGGATCGAGATCGAGGCCAGGATCGAGACCATCCTGGCCAACATGGTGAAACCGCATCTCTACTAAAAATACGAAAAAATTAGCTGGGCATGGTGGCACCTGCCTGTAATCCCAGTTACTCGGGAGGCTGAGGTAGGAGAATCACTGGAATCCGGAGGCAGAGGTTGCAGTGAGCCAAGATTGCACCACTGCACTCTAGCCTGACAACAGAGTGAGACTCTGTCTCAATAAATAAATAATAAATAAGTAAATAAAATAATAAATAAATAAAAAATTTCCACCCATGTCCATTTTCTTTGGACATAATCTCCAGCTTTGAGACATTCAGAACCTCACAAATGGAGAGAATCTCATTCTTAATTTACCAATTGTGTATTTCCATTTTATCTTGGGGAAAAGTAGAACTGTTTTAAGACAGTAACATAGCCAACCACACTTGTTCTGAAGCCACTATGTTTTGTGTCTTTTATAAGACAGAGATCAAATTGCCCACTACTTTGCAAACTTCCATTAAAGAATCACTCAGTATCAAGTTTAAATAGCCATTATCGGCACCAATAGTTAGAGTCATTACCAATCAGCAAAAAATATTTTAAGGTTATACCTTGTAGGTTCCACAGTAGGGTCTCCGTAGAAAAGAATGATCTTTGGTGGCATTTAAGGATATTGCATTTTATGTATAACATTGTTTAGTAGGGGCAGGTTCTCTTTGATTACCTTACTTGATTGAAGAGCTAATGTGATTAGGCTGGTGATGCCTTTTAACTGCCTGAAAGAAAGGAATTATAAACAAATACATTATTGTGATTTTATTATAATTGTTAAATTTGGTTTTCTTTTGAATCTAACTCTTATGGCTTGCATATCTATCGGATTACACGTAAATATAATATAATGATACTCAGTTCCCAGATGCCTCACAAAACACAGTTGCTAGATTTTAGTTCCCACTTCAGGATAGAGAACAGACTACCCGCAGAGAGTAGGACAAAAGTAACTTAAGGATTAGACATTGGGATGTTCAGGAATGCTTAGAAGAAAGAGCACAAAGTACAGTATTTAAATGTGCCATGGGATTTTATAGAGATCAACCTACTTTGTGTCCTATGAGGAGCGAACATGAAAAAGTAAAATACACTTGTAACTATGAATGGAATAATTTAGATCAAAAATTACCAGCAATTTACTAACCATGTGTAGATTGTTAGATCCAGAAAGGGTTAAAGACAAAGTCATCCTTCTCTTCTAAAATATAGGCTAGCTCTCATCTGTTTGGAATGGTTGGCTTGTCTGGAAGCCAGAGAAGAGACTAGACAGTCTTTTAAGATTCTTTCCAGCCCTGTGATTCTGTGATATATTTGTACAGCTTCTAGCATAATCTGTGTATTGTGTAGTTGAAACATTTCTGATTCCTGTGGTCAAAGTGACCTAGAATATATTTCATTACTTCGTTATTCCAGATTTCTATTAAATTGTAAGGCAGTTTTAAAAACATATGGCAAAGGTAAAGATAAGGTAGAAAAAACAAATATATAATTTTAATGTGAAAACAAACATAATCACAGTGACCATTACCTCTCTGCAGCCAGTTTGTCTGGCTCTGGCATGCAGAGAGAGAAGCCAGGAAATAAAAGGACAAGAAACCCAGTTTGAAGTTCAACAACATTTAGAGAAACACTTTTTATGTCCATGTATTGTTTTTATTAAAGTTTCAATGTGCATAAAACAGAAAAAAATATTATTTTAATATATATTCAAGAAATAATTTGTGGTATGAATAGCTCCTTTTTTGCTAATTTATTAGAGGCACGCAAGGGGAAATGGTTTAGAAGACTAGTGGAAATTTTAGTCAGTTGTTCTCACCTATAAACAGTAGAATTCTGAAAATTTGTTCCCATAGAATCATCATCCTCTAGAGTTAATAACAATTCCGCTTCAGGTGCAATACGACTTAAACAGGCTCTTGTGGGCTGGCCTGGGACTTTATCCACCGTGCAGAGAGTTTCTTTTATGGGAGAAAATGTGCTCCAAGTTCCAAACTACTGACTTACAAATGAACTTTGGAATAGTATCCATTTCTAAGACTGAATTATCTATTCCATTTCATTCATACAAAAAGGGACCTCTCTAGGCCACAGTCACATTCACACATGCATTGCTGTCTGGAGGGCAGTTGTGATCACACAAACACACACACACACACACACACACACACACAGAGAGCTAAATTTTTAAAATCTATTAAATGGAACAAGACACTGAAGGGATTATTAAAAAGGAAAGGGAGTGTGAAGACACCAAATGTTAGAATGCCTATAAAAATCCCACTACATCCGTCCTTATAGAAATAGAAATACCTTTGAAGTTCATATTTTGGAAGACTCCGCCTCAACAGCACAGCATGGGCAATGGCTGCTGACGAAGCGTTGGACTTTCGCACAGCTCATCGTGCAAACCTGTGATATCATTGCACTGATGCGCTAAACAGATTTCAGGGTCTTAAACTGGCTTAAATTATCTCTTGAAAAATGGAGATTATATACAGCTTTGAAAAATAGGGAAGTTTTTTCCCCAGAAGACGTGGCACGTGATTGCCAAAAAAACACATAACCATCTTTGGTTAAGACGTGGCACCATCTTTCTGAGCATTGCTGTAAATACAATAAAGGTCAACGTGCTGCAGGTGTATTACAGCTATGAGAATCCACAATTAATTGCATTCTCTTTAAAGAAAAGCAAAAGTTACCAGCATATTGAGAAGGCGCATAATTCTACTCTATTTCTGTTGAAACTGAGGATTACGTATTAGATATAGCACCTATTATTTGCTAATTGTTTTCCTTCATTGTTTCGTTGAACTTTTTGGACCTCAAAATATACTACTGAGTGGATATGATTCCCTGTTTTATGGGTGAGACACCTAAGACAATCAGATTGTAACTTTCCAAATACATTATAATGACTGTCAGTGGCTGTTGGCCTTGAACCTAGGCCTTCCTTAATCCAAAAGCCATTCTCATCATACAGTGTTTATCTCCTCTGGCTGGACAGCAGAATCTCAGCAGAGCCTTTTAAAACCTAGAGTTGCAATGGCCCTTCTCCTGGAGATTCTGGGGTAGGGCCCAGAAAACTTTTTCTTTAATGAAGTGCCACAAGAGATTTTATGATGCAGCTAGGGTTAAGAAGCTCTGTTGAAATCATCATATCAGCATTGCCCTAGATATGTTCCTGAGAATCCTAGTCCTCTAAGACATTGAAAGAAAGAAAATATTACGGTTCAATAAATTTGGCAAATGTTGCGTGCCTTGTCCCGAACGAATCAATTCACAATGATTATTTGCATTTTAAAGACTTCCAAAATTAAAAACAAAACTGCAAACAAAACAAACAATTTAACTGGGTTTCACCTAGCGTTTTTGCGGTCTTCGTTGGTCAGGGGACCCTTTATGAGTGTTTGTGACTGATTTGCACTCTGCAGAACTCCAGTTCACAGTCTGTGAAATACTAGGCAAGTCCACATCCTCCCACCAGTTTTAACAGTAAAGGCCACTATATCACTATAAACGTCACATCTGTTCTGACTCTCCAACAGCTATTCAAATTATTAAAGCCTTGAAGAGTTATGTAAAGGTGGAGAAGAGAGAGATCTTATGTGCATGTGTCATAGATAGCTTTAGCTTCTTGATCAAAACAATATTTCTTTACAATATTTTAAACTTCCCTCTCCTATTGCTCTTGCCCACTGCAAGTTTCAAGTCTGCATGGTGGCTAGAAATCAATGAGACTTAGGAGGAAACAGAAAACCCAAGTCACCTAAAGAAACCGTGTGAAGTTTGTAAAAGTCTACAGGCTGCAGGGATCCCTAAGGCATGGTTAATCAGACCTCTGTTTAATCAAGAGATGGGCCAGGCATGGTGGCTGACACCTGTAATCCCAGCACTTTGGGAGGCCGAGGCGGGTGGATCACTTGAGGCCAGGAGTTCAAGACCAGCCTGGCCAACGTGGTGAAACCCTGTCTCTACTAAAGATACAAAAATTAGACAGGCATAGTGGTGCACACCTGTAATCCCAGCTACGCGGGAGGCTGAGGCAGGCTTGAACCCAG